GTTGAATAGTATGAATGGGAAACCTGGAAGTTGAAAGAAGAGAAGATAGGTTTGCTGACTACTTGGATTTTTGGCCCTTATTGGTGGTGGGTTGGCTTTTTTGCTCTGTTGAATAAGTCTAGATTCCAAAACTGTCAATGTTGAAGTGATATGTGATGTGGGAGCCACCTTATTTTTAATATAAACAATTTCACCACCTACATGCACACATGTAATTGTATGATATGATTATAAAGAAAAATTGAAGGAAAGTAATATTTTAAATAGTAATTTTTTTTGAAAAATGTATAATAAAAATTAAAAAAAAAATTGGAATTTATATATAAAATATTTTATTGTGCGAATATGTAATTGAAAATGAGTATGAAAAATAAATAATTGTGAAATAAATAGAGTCGACATGGGCTTAATTCATGTTGTATTTAGACTATTTTAATAGTAAATTGCACTGATCTACTATAAACGTTGACTTCAAGTTCAATCTATAATAATCATACATTATATCAACTCCACGTTTGGTTCAATTCAAAAGGTGAATTAAAATTCAAATTAAAGCCCATTAATTATAACTACACCGTTCATGGATTCACAACTTGTCAACCACACATTTAATCAACTTATCAAAATATATTGAAATTTTGATTTTTATCTAAGTCAAACAAATGCTAAGTCTGATGCAAACTGTGTTGTCCTCCGTATGTTAAGGGCGAACAAAATACCTTTAGACCATAAAATCAAATCGAAATGGTTTGAGTTTATATAGATCTGTTGACGTTTCGATTTTGAACTGAATTCAACCATTTAGAAAAGATTCCATCTATGTTTAAATAGTTAAAAATTGTCTGAACTTGAATCAAATTGTCAACATGGTTTTTGTTAGAATTTGAGTTTGACCCGAATTCCTTATTTGAAATATTTTGGAAACCCATTGGGAGTTGGAAATTGATATTATACTTGAAAAAGAGTTTGCAATGGAGAAAAACATTTTGAAAGCATGTTTTGAAATATTAACCCGAAACCTAGCACCTCAGCGCTACTACAAGAGCGCCTGGCGCTGCTACAGTAACCTGTTTCGGGATTTTCCCCTTTTCGTTTCGTACTTTATTTTGGACTCGTATTTTGGGCATTTTACTTCATCAACAACTCTACCAAGAGGTCTTGGACGTCCCCTACATGTCCTCTATAAATACTTGACTCTTCTATACAATTTAGCAACACAATTACATGTGAGAAAATAGATTTCTAGAATTATATAATCTATTGTAATTTTCTCTTTTCTCCATTATTCTTGGTGCAATAAAATCTTTTAATTCATCTGCCATATTCTTGTCTTCTTTTCTTCTTTTGCTTGATCATATATTTCATTATTATTTGTCATATAACTTCAACATCTCAATCTGGTGATTGCCGTCACAACTAGTGGTATCAATCCTAACAAGTGGTATCAGAGCCAAGGTTCAGCAATTCAGCATCGCTAGGGTTTTTTTTATTGGTTTGAAGTTTCTGTTTGTGATGGCTACCATGAAGTATGACATTTCGTTTTTGGATCGAAACACTAGATTTTCGCTAGGCAGGTTAAGATGCGTGCAGTACTCGCATAGTTGGATTTGGATGATGCGTTGTCGGGTATTGACAGGATGCCAGCAGCTTTGACCGTGGAAGAAAAATTACAGAAGGATAAAAAGGCAGTTTCTCACATTCATCTTCGTCTATCAAATTCCATTCTTCAGGACGTTTTGAAGAAGAGGTCAGCAGCTGCTTTGTGGTTGAAGTTTGAGCAATTATGCAAGACCAAGAGTCTTACAAGCAAATTGCATCTCAAGCAACGGTTATACTCTCATCGCATGACAGAAGGAGGATCATTGGAAGATCACTTAGCTGTATTTAAGGAGATCGTCACTGATTTAGAAACATTGGAAGTTAAGTATGATGAAGAAAATTTGGCTTTGATCCTATTGTGTTTGTTGCCCGTTTCACTTTCTTCATTTAGATACATGATCTTATACAATTGTGATACTCTCACTATTGAGGAGGTTTATGATGCTTTGTTTTCAAAAGAGAAGATGAAGCATTTGGTTTTTGAGGCCAGATATGGAGAAGGCCTGATTGCTCATGGTGGTTCTGGAAGAGGCAGATCGAAGACTAAGTTTACTAGTCAAAGTTGTAACTACTGTAAGAAGAAGGGACACTTGAAGAAGGATTGCTACAAATTGCAGAATAAAGAAAGGATGGCTGCAAGTAGATATTCAGATACTTTAGGCTAAGCAGATCTCGTGGAAAACGTTGTAAGTGATGGATAGCTTTTAGCTATTTCTGACATTGAGTCTAAATTGGAAGATGATTGGATTCTTGATTCAGCATGTGTGTTTCATATATATCATAATAAGGACTTGTTTGCTACATATGAAACTGTTTCCAAAGGTGTCGTGGCTATGGGAAACAACTCATCTTCTCGGGTTGCTGGAATTGGTACAGTCAGATTGAAGCTTTTGGATGGGACAATTAGAACACTTGGCCAGGTTTGACATGTTCCAGATTTGAAGAAGAATCTCATCTCATTATCTATCCTTAATTCAAAAGGTTATAAGTTCTTTGGTAGATGTGGAGTTTTGAAGGTTTGTAAGGGTGTCCGGTTATATTGGAGGGACAGAAAAGGTCTCAATCTTGCAGGATCGTGCAGAATTTGGAAGAGTCATCAGCACAGGTTCGCACCGTGGCGGACATTCAGTTTGGTACAATACCTTTAGGAGCTCATAAATGGTCAGATTTGAATAATACAATTCAGTAGAGTTTTGAAGACATGGATAATACCGCTTTGCCACATCACCTGCGGTGCTATTGTATTCGGTTGTTAGAGTTAGACCCAATAAAATAAGGTATGTGGATGTTAATTTTGTTGGTTGATTTTGTTGAGTATGCTTTAAGTGGAGTAGAAGGTGTATAATCTAGCAAGGAGCCTATTGTAAAAACATTTGGTATTGATTCTGCTTTAGGATGTGTTACCGCCCATTTTGGTAAATTATAAAATCATTATGATTTTTTGAAATCTGAGGTAATTCTGCAGAGTCGTGCTTGGATTCATTGGAAGAGGTGGAGTATTTTGTGTTTGGTTGGAGAAATTAATTTTTTGATTATTGTTGAAGAAGTCAGTTCATTCCTTGATGAAATTCGTGTCAAGGTAAAGATTATTAGAATTTGGGTTTGACCCAAATTCATTGTTTGAAGTATTGAAAAATTCTAATTGTAGTGAATATAAAGAAGAATTTAATTTTGGAATGCTATTAGAGTCCTATATCAAGTTGAAGTTCTATTTTGGAAACCAATTGGGAGTTGAAAATTGATATTATACTTGAAGAAGAGTTTGAAATCGAGAAAAACACTTTGAAAGCATGTTTT